AAAATATATACAAGCGTATTTACAGACGCACTCGAGAATTAATAGAAATTAAACGATTAAAAAAGTTAGTTGAGTTAAAAGACTAATCCTATGTTAACTACATTCTAAACAAAATAATTATCTAACTAGAACTAAACATAATATAATTCTAAATCAAATAAAAATCTAACATAAATTCAAACCTAAATAGAAACCTAAATCCTAAAGTTAATCGAAAGTTTTAATCCTAAGGTTAATTAATTAAAAACGAATCCTAGTTCTAAATAGTTAAACAACTAATCTAATTTCTAATTAATTAAATTCTAAAAGAAAATAAATTCTAAAGATAATCCCAAATTTATCTAGGCTAAATCTAAACTAATCTAAATTAAAATAATAAATCTAATTAATATTTCTAAACAAAATTACTTCTAAAAGTTAATTTACTCTAAGATTAATTAAACTCTAATTAAAATGCTAAACCTAAATTAATTAAATTAAAACTAAATAATCCTAAAAATTTAACCTAATTTTTGAAGTGATATTCTAATTAATATTAAACCTAATCTAAATCCTAAATTAAATAATTGAAAACTAATCCTAATATAAACCTAAAACTAATCCTAAATAATTAATTAGAGAAAAAAACTAAATAAAATTCTGATTAAAAATACTAAATTAATACTAATTAAAACTAAACTAATTCTCTCTCCTCCCACGACTCTCTTTTCTTCCCAATGCCTGTCTCTTTTCCCCACGTTAAATTTATTTCTCTTCTCCCAACGGACAAATCTCTCTTCCCCATACACTTCTCTTCTTCCCAAACGAACCTTCCTCTTCCCAACGTCTGCCTTCTCCTTCTTTCCAATAAAAAAACTTCCTCTTCCCAACCTAATTTATTCTTCTCCTATACTCTTCTCCTTTCTGAACTCAACGAAAAAAACTTCTCCTCTCAAAATCTCTCAACCTCATGAAAACGCTCTCTTTTCTCACCCTCACAATCTCAACGGAAACCTTCCATCTTCTCTAAACTCTCACAATCTCAACGAAACATCCTCAGGAAACAACATGTTCATGGGTTCCTCACGAACCTAACCTTAAGCCCGAACCCAGAAACGACCAAAAAATCCCTTGAAGACGCAAGAAAACTAAACTTAAACGGATGAAACCTAACCCTAATGAAGAACCCTAACCCTAATGAAGAAAACCAAAACAGACAGAAACACAACCACACACATACAAAAGCTAAGTCGTTACCTCCTTTGACGTATTCTCACTATTTGCTTCGAATTCTTCTTCTTTTTCTCCCTTTTTAATCCTCTCGTACTTTTTCTTGTGTAGGTGTTGATGAATGGAGTTCTTAGGGTTCTTCAAAAAAAAATGTGTGTGCGGAGGCCTCTATATATTTCTCCGGTCAATTCATGAATATCAAGAGCTTGTTATATACTAGTGGAATTAGGGTTCGCCAATCTGTGCTTCTTTTGAAAAAACTACATTTATAGCAAATTTGGCAATGGCTTTTTTGATATTTGAAAAGTGTTCCTCTATTCTTATGATTCTGTTTCGTTTTTACTGTCTTCATCTGACAGTACTTTTGTTTTCTTGTGTGAATCAGGTGCTGATGTGGTTCTTAGAAGGGCCCAAACCATGTTTGTTTTTTATTCATTACAAGTATGTAGCGACCACTTAAGAGTTCGTGAGGTCCAAGAGAATTTCTTGTCATTGGTGGAACTATATGAGGAGAACTGGTTTTAACACTTAAATTGCAGCTACCAAGGGGGAACCATCCTTTGGTATCATCAGATAGATTGTTGTTCTCAATTATATTAAGCCCAAAAATAACATTCTTTGCATTTGGTGGTATGGAAGGAGGCATTTTAGTAGCATGCTTTACAACCAAAGTATTAACAAGAATGTTAGTCCCAGAAGGAGGGCCCTCTAAATAAAGGACCAATTTGGATGGAGAACCATTTAGAAGAAATTTTCCCTGCAGTGTTGTTGCACCCCAAATTTTGACCCCTTAGATCTTCATCACCATTTTAGGATCATATTCATTTGTTTATCTAACCATAACATATTTCAAGTTTGTCTTTGTTAAGTTACAGGCGAATCAGGGTTCTGTACAGTTGGGAATCGAGAGTTCGATAGTTTAATCAGTCAATTCATTGTATTGTTTCGCCATGAAACAAGTCTCTACACGATCAAGAATACTACATTGGGATAATCATGAATCCAATTTGGGGTTTTCACACAAAGATCAGGAACAATGCATTTCAGGATCCCCGATTAGGGTTTCTGATCAGGAAAAGTCAACTGTGGTTTGACTTTTGATTTAAAAGGTGCTCCAATGATGTAATTATGGTCCATGAAGTTCATATGACTTATTGAAGTCCCCACAAGAAGTTTCAAAGCCTCAGGGAACCTAGGACACCAATAGTCGATTCAGAGGTTTTCAATCGTTCGGTTCGTCTGACTGAAAAGTCAACCCATTGACCAACAGGGTTTTAACCCAAAATTGAAGCCAAATATGTTCCCAAAATCATTTAATATCTAATCATGAAGTTTTGTGACCAATTGATCAAGAATTGAGAAGTAATCAAAAAGTTGGGAAATTAAAGTTTTGAAAAGGGCAAAACCATAACTCCTTAAACACACAAGGGTTTTTGACCTAGTTTCAAGAGGAATGAGTTCCTAAAATAACCATAAATATTTTAGTACCTAATTGGGGCTTTCTAAAAAGTACAAGTGGGTTCCATAACTCTTCCTGGTTAGAGAGAACCAAGGTCCACAAGTTGGCAAAAACTCACATTGGCAAAACCAGGTCAGCATGAGTTCTTTTGATTCCAAAACCTCCCCAAATCGATGCTAATCAAAGACTAAGCCTCACTTATGATTTTTATATTGATAATAAACCTTTTTAAATCAATTCCCACGAAAATGGCACAAATATCAAAGGAAATCATTATTTAATGCAAGTTGCAAAAGTGAATAGTGAAGAAAGAGAAAAAGGTGGCTACCATTGTCAAATCATCAACTTTAATTCAACAAGTCACCTCCTATCCTATCAAGCATGATGAAAAAGATATATAGGATATGGAAAATATCTTAGTAGAGTGGCTTAAAGATAAATATGAAGATTGCATTGGAAAACTCAAAGATTTTCATGATGGAAGGTTAAAATTGGCAATTTGCTTCACTTTTGCCCATACCTTGACCCAAGGCCTTTGTCTATAAATAGAACTCACTTCCTAAATCATAAACACACAAGTTCCAGGCTAGAAACAAGCTAGAACTCCCTTCCTTACACAATCACAAGTTCTTGCAAAATCTCATTAAGTTTCCAAAATCCCTCAAAATTTGCTTTTGCAAAACACATTTCAAAACCATTTCCAAACTTCTTCCAACTCAAGAAACACTTCAAACACATAAAGTATGATGTATTGAAGCTATCCAAGTCACTTCCACACTTATGTAACAAAATCTTGGAAGAGCTCTCAAGATCTCTAGTTTTCTTATTACATAAGCTTGCTTCAAGAGGTAAACCTAAAACTCATAAATGTGAACTTTTCACTTACATTCCACATGCTACGATGACTATTTTTAGGTTTTTTTCTACCATGATGTTCTTGAACTTTTTCAACTTGTAACTTGATTTTTTTCTTGTGATATTGATCTTGTATTATTCATAAATTTTTGTTAACATGTTTAAATAATCAAATTTGTTTGATTCATTGTCTTACCATGTGCATTTTATTCCTTTTATCATTTAAATTTTCATGTTTTGTTTACAAACTTAAAAACCACATAACTTCTCCATTTTAAATCATTTTTAAGTTGTTCTTTTTGCTAAATTGTTGTGTTAATGAGTATTTTCACATGAAATATGATTCATATTTTTATCCCTTTATCCTAGCCTTAGGATCGGAGTCGCCGTACTCCAAGTAGTTGTCCCGCCGTGGACATCCTCTATCATAATAATCTCAACTTAGGCTTGGAGTCGCCGTGCTCTATTTAGTCGTCCCTCCGTAGACATTTCCCGTGTTTACATTTACAACTTTAGCCTTAGAGTCGCCGTGCTCTATTTAATCGTCCCGCCGTGGACATTCCCTTCCATTTAACATAAGAGTTCTTCACCCCTTAGTTAGGGGAACTACGAACGCTCTGATTTCTCAAAGTACCTTTTGAGAATACGTAGGCACAAGGCCCCGATCCTTGGCGAGCAACCTTTTTCTTTTTTCTTTTTTTCCAACCTTTTCTTTTTTCCTTTGTTTCAACCTTTATATCTTTACCCTTAGCACATTTCCTTTAGCAAGCAAACTTTAGCAAACACAAATATTAACAAGTGGTTCCTGTAGAGTACTACAGATGTTTAGGATGTGAAATACCTACCCTAGGCATAACCAACCCCCGAACCTTTAGATCTCTCTTTGCTTAGCTAAGCCTTGCTTTTTGCTTTGCATTTTTATAGGTTTTTCTTTCTTTAAACCTTTCCTTTTTTGGATAAATTAAAGTCCGGTTGTGAATTTAAGAATTTAAGATTCAAGTTAATCAATAGCTTGGTATCAAGATTCTCACTGCAACAAGTGTCACCCAATCTGTATCTGTTGCCTGCATATTTGCAATGCCTATATACTTCTCTCGGTAATCTGGTGTTTGAACCCACAAAGTAGCTCGAACATCGGCATTAGTGACATTGTTACCATATATCCGAACCAAAGCAGTGATCTCATAGGCCAGTTTGTGCTGCACACGTCTAGTTATCTCCTGCTGAATTCCGTTCCAGGCTTGCGTTCGTTCTATTGCACATGAAAAAAATTTCCCAAACTTCGGAATAATTTTACCATCCGCCATGGAATCATTCAACACAACCTTGCAGCCTCTTCCAGACCAATTATTCAGGCCATCCTCAAATTGAGGATTTATTGTGATGTTTTTCATCTCCAGTAAAAACACATCCTTCTGTGCTTAAGCTATTGTAATTTGGATTGGAGCAATTGATCTCTACTGATCTTATACGCAAGTCAACTCCAGGAGCAGGGCCCTTCCAAATAAAATATAACTCGGTCGGGCTTAGTAGATAGTGAAAATGTTCCTTCCAACTTTTCCCAGCTACCCTTTATAACAGAAGTACTTCCAATGAACAAATATTGTGTAGCTGAACCATGATATTCTAGTTTCAGTGTAGCTTTTACATCAGCAGATTCATGAGAAAGACCAGAGCCAAATACTCCAACAAAAGCCAAAACCGTGTAAATGGAACCAACCGAAATTCTGTCTGTGATATTTTGCTCAAGACCTTGCCAGCATTCATTCTGGTCAGTGATAACAGCATAATTACGATCCGGCTCTATCGAAATTCCAGCATGATTACCTGCTTTAGCGGAAATTACATAGGCATTGCAAGAATTGGGATGCCAAGAGTTGAGGCCATCAGAGAAGTCACGATTCAGCAAAATATTAACAACATTGCTCCCACTTGGATTAGAAATGTTTCCTGCCATTATCTGAGGCTGAGATTTCTTAAGCTTCGAGTGAAAGTGATATTTTGAGATACCCCTTGTGAAGAACCTCTTCATTAATCATATATATACACCACTACTAACCTAGCAAATTTGCAAGTAAAGTCTAAGGAAAATTGAAGACCAACCAGAAAATTTCCTTCGATTTCATAATCCAAATTTGGAATGAACTTAATTTTATAATCCATTATCATTCAAAACTTTGGGATCATTGATTTTTCTATTCGGATATGGACTCAGGTTTTAAGTTGGAATCCAAATAAATATAAAATGAAATAGATTCTAAATGGGTTAAAATGGACATGATATATATAAAAAAAATTGGATTTTGTGGATAAAATTGAAAAATGGAAAATAATGTGGGTTAAATAAAATTAATATAGTTATTTGGATATAATAAAGAAAAATGAATAAATAAATGATTAGAATGGATATTGGATATTGATAATGGATATGGTTGAAAGTGAAAAAGATTAGAAAATATGGTGTAAAGGGAAATGGAAATGGAAGAAGGGTTTATGGTAGAAAAAAATAATGGACTAGAATGGATTATGAATTTTGTTTAAAGACTGAATAACCAAATGAATCCAAAACCTATTTCAAGCTTTTCACCAACATCCGATAAAATGCACACAGCTACCACTGAACAGCTTGCCAAAGAAAAAACAACCATCTGAGTGAGCCGACCTCTGAATCTCCAATCAAGAGAACCTTGAATCATCTCGAATCTGTCTAGATAAGTCTCTAGAAAAATAAATCCACAAAGGAGCATCGTTTGAACTGATGGATTATGATGAACCTGATAACCTCCACATATGACAACTTGAATTTAGGTACATACCACTGTGAAAATAACCAATGCTACAGATAACTCACAACTGAAGAAGAATCTTAATAGTTTGACCATGATTAGGTAAAACTTCCCTCTGATATTGATCATGACTGAACAACCGCGCTTGACTTGAAGCCATGTCACCATCGCTGAGAACCTGATCTTCTATCCCTGACGAAAAATAATCCTTAATCTTGCCAACAAACTTGAACCCAAAAACTGATGAAACCCTAGGCCCTTTATGCCTGACAACTCTTGAAAAATGTAAGCCTGATGATTTGATTCAAAGAAATTCTCGATCCCACGTCTTATAAGATTAATGTAAAGTATGATTATGAATTATGAACTAACGGATATGCAGATGGACGCGAAGCAAGAGCCAGCCAAGCTTAGAAAAAACATGGGCAAATTTTGGGGTGCAACAAGGCGTTCTGACAAGCTTTAAAGTGGATTCTCAAGTACATAAATGGATCTCTGAGTCGAGTCCTGATTTATGGTGGAGCCTGTGGTGATGATAGCAAAGTTGAAATCAAAGGATTTGCTGACTCTGATTATGCAGGTTGTATGGGTTCCAGAAAATATATTTTTTGATATGTGTTCACTATGTTTGGCATAGCAGTTAGTTAGAAATCAACACTTTAGAAGGTTGTTGTCTTATTAACCACTGAAGCAAAATATATCGCCCTAACTGAAGCTGTGAAGGAAGTATTGTGGCTTGAAGGTTTTGAAAAGGAGTTGAAACTTCAAGGTCGAGTTATCGCTGTTAAATGTGATAGTCAAATTGCAATACACCTGTCAAAGAATTTAGCTTATCATGAGCGAAACAAGCACATTGATGTGAGGTTGTATATCGTCAGAAGGGTAATCGAGTATGGAGAAGTCAAAGTGCTGAAGGTTTCGACAGATCATAATGTTGATGATATGATCACTAAGACATTGTTCAGTTGTAAAGTTTTCCATTGTATGCAGTTGATAAAGCTACATGATAAAAGCTAGTTTATTCCCTGTTTGTAGAGTTATATCTAAGGTGGATATTTGTGAGATTTTGGATCAAACTCTAGTCCTGTCGAGGGATAGCTTTCATGTGTTTCGACAGGAGACAAGCATGAAGTCGAAGATTGTTTACATACTGAGTCAAAGTGTTACATACTGTAATTGAAGTCAGTCTTAGTTTATATTGTCGAATTGAGCCTTGTGGTAAGGATCCAAATTGTTTAGTTAGCTTATTTTGCACGTCAGCTAGTTAGTCTATAAATAAGCTAGATCACTTAGGTTGTTGAGTGAAGCAAATTGTGTTATTCACTTGTAATTATTTGTAAACCCTATATGAGAAAGTGAATAGCAAACTGTTTTCCCAAGAAGCCTTCTTCCTTCTTTCTTCCTTATCTTATCTTCTTTCTCTCTTTGTTCTAACCGTTTTTCATTGTTCACCCAAGAACTCCATTTCTCAATCTTTATTTGTTGAAAGGTATCGTTTGTGATCATAACATTAATTTATTTTTAAATCTTATTGTTATTATTACTATAATACTAAATCAAACTTAAAAAAAATCAAATACTAATAATAATATATCTATCTATATATTATATTTTCTAAATCATATCATTAGGTAAAATACCCAATAAAATAATAATAATAATAGAAATATTATCTCTATATTATTATTGTTATTTTAAATAAATCTTAACTTATTTATTGTTACTACTAAATTAATTTAATTAAATCTAATAGTAATACTATTAGTCTCATTTTGTCCAACACCCCCTACTTCTTGTTAATTACTACCACACCCTTCACTGAGAATTCTAATATTCCAGGGACATTACCCCATACCCAAGACTCTCCTACTACCTCAACCATTCAAAACACATACAATACAATTAAATTATTTTATAGAATTAGATAACTCAAATGGGGTGTTACACTAAACTTATCTAACACTGATTTATTTCTTGTTCTTTGGAAGCTCAATCAGCTCCCAAGTCTTGTTTCTTTTTATAGCCTCAAGTTCTTCTTTTATGTCCTTCAGCCACACATTATTCTTGAGAGACTCTCTAGTACTCGCTAGTCCAGAGTCTACTAACGTGACATATTGAATGACTTCCCCTTCAGAGTCTATCTTAGTATCTTATAACATGTCAAACTCTACAAATCTTCTTGGTATTTGTCTGATTCTTTGTGGTCTCGGAACTTGTTTAGAATCTTCTTCAAATGATATAATAGTATCATATGCTAAACTACCTTCAGGGGTCGGACCACCTTCAGAGGCATGATTACAACCAGATTCTAGATCATCATGACGATCTAGATCAAAATCAAATTCACCTTTAGAGTCACACTCGCCTTTAGACTTAACTTTAGATTCAGACTCAACTTCAGCATCAGAGTCACCTTCAGACTCTGACTCATCTTCAGACTCATAATCTTCTTTAGAGTCTAAAATATCTTTAGAAGTTAACTCAAAAGTTAACACTGCACCAGAGTTGGATTGAGATTTGTCCCAATCCCATGCTTCAGATTCTTTCACAATGACATCTCTTCCGAACTCAACTTTATTAGTACAAGAACAATAGATCTTATAAGCACATGTACTGTGGTACCCTACAAGCTACATGACTCAGCTTCTGTCATCTAACTTCCTTCTCCTAGCATCCAAAACATATTTATAACAAACAGAACCAAACACCTTCAGATGGTTCACACTTTGCTTATCTCCAGTCCATTTTTCAAAAGGAACAATATCCTTCAGCTTCTTAGTTGGACAAATGTTGAGCATATATCTTGCAGTGGCAACAGCTCCCCCCCACATGGTGTGGGGAAGCTTATTCTCATTCAACATGTTCCTTGTCATATCAAGCAAAGTTGTGTTTCTTCTTTCAGTAAGACCATTGTATTGAGGAGTGTATGGAACATTAACCTTATTCTCAATTTCATTCTCCTCACGGGACATTCTAAACTCTAATGAGTTGTGCTCACCTCTGCCATCAGTTCTTAAAATTTCTAGCTTCTGACGACTTTATTTTTCAGCCTTCGCCTTGATCTTCTGAAACTCAACAAACACCTCATGCTTAAACTTGATGAGTGCTACCCATGTAATCCTTGTGAACACATCCATAAATGACACAAAATACTTGTTTTCTTTAAGTGAAGGTACTTCAAATGGTCCACATAAATCAAAATGCACTAATCCTAAAACATGTTTTTCTCTTGGGGCTACCTATGATGCAAATGATAATCTTGGTTGCTTGCCTTTCATGCATGTCTCACATAACTTCTCAGGATTCACAATATTAACATTTGCATGTACTAACTTCTTAAATTTCAGATGCCCTAAGCTTGTGAAGATCAAATACTCCAATCTCTTGTGCCACAAATCACTGTCACCTGTAGTACATTCAGCACTAAGGCATTTAGTGTTAGTTGTCTCCATATTCACTTTGAATGTTTTTTTGATTCCCTATTCATACTGCATAATCAGCTTCTTATTAGAATCATACAACTTCAAGAGATTTTTCTTCATAGTAAGCGAGAAACTTTTCTCAATTAATTGACCTACACTCATTAAATTGCTCTTCATGCCAGGAACACATCAAACATCCTTGATAAGAACACTTTTGCTATTCTTCACTCTGACCTTGACATTTCTCATTCCTTTAACATTTAAATACTTATCATTAACACATATGATCTTTTTCCTCTTTCTAGTGTTAAAATTAATCAACCATTATTTATTTCAAGTTAAGTGATTTGAGTAGCCAGTGTCCATATACCACCAGTTTACCAAATATCCACCATCTGATTCAGAAGCCATTAATAGGACAGGTTCATCATCAGAATCTCCTCTGGCTATGTTTGCTTCGTCTAATTTTCTTTCCTTGTTTGACCAACAGTCAGCAGCAAAGTGACCAAATCTCTTACAATAGTAACTTTGAACCTTCTTCTTGTCATGCTTCTCCTTTCCCTTTTGATGTTTCTTCCCATCTGAGTTAAAGACTTCTGACTTCTAATAACCACCACAATGTTTCTTCTTGGCCTCCAACCAATATTTCTTCTGATTCTTCTTACCAGAAGACGCCTTCACAGCCTGCTCTACCTCTCTTTCAGGGGTTCTCTCAATCAGACGTAACTCTTATGCCTCTAGACTGCTCCGCAGCTCTTGAATTCTCAGGATGCTCAGATCCTTAGAATTTTCAATTGTTATAACAATGTAATCAAATCGAGGAG